AGCTTTGATGGAATGGATACAGCAAATAGGAGACAAAACTCACAACTGTTGGCCTGTTTAGAGGCAACTACAAGTCTATGTGAGGTGTTAGAGTCAGAAGAAGAAAAGGTGAGGATGGCGGAGAGACCAGGGGCAGAGAAGGCGCTGGTAGAAAGAGTCTGGCTGTCATGCCATGAGATTGAAGAGGTGGCAGGTCAGTAGGCTAAGGTCGAAGTTGCTCAAACGATGGTCTGAGCTACCTGCTGGAAAGATTACTACTGGTATTATTGGTCCCATCAAGGTTTTGTTGCCAAGCCACAGCTTCTAAATGGAGACTCAAAGTACTCTTACTAGGTTTTACCTTTGAGCGAGGTGGCTTTTCAAAGAGGTTCAGCCCCTCAACAGAGCTCCCATCTTCTGCTCACAGTACATAGCCCTTCAGGTACTTGGAATCCAGTGTTAGCCACGTCCCCAGGATTGTTGCAGTTGCTGTGCCCCATGCCTCCAGCTAGGATCCTGGAAATAAATACCCTGAATCATGGACTGTTTTCACACAGTATATGGGCTATAATGTATAAAAATTAAGGTATTTTCAGAAAATTTGAGCTTTCTGCATGTTTTATCATTAATGCTAATTTGTTAACATCAACTATAACTATCATGTTAATAGTATATTAATATATTCACATCATATGTATGTATTGATGCAATATTAACATATTCTAATATTAATTAATGTTAATAAGTCCCAACTCCTACAGAATGACATAGGTTGATGATGAGCAATGACCTGTAGTCTCTCCTTTTCTTCTCTCTATATGACTGGAATACTTGCCAAAAGGATTATTATGTCTACAGCTAAAAAAGAGACACTTGGGAACAAGCACTGTCTTATTGCTTAGGATGCCATGTTTGCCATTGACCTCTGGATCTCTAATAATATTGAGGCCCATGAAAACAATGAGCTGAGCAGGACACCATGCTGAACAGAGCTGAGCAGAAAAAGAAAATGAATCCAAGGACAATGTTGAATTTTGTCAATTTGTAGAATTAACCTGCCCCAGAGTCATAGCTTCTTGTTAAATAAGATAATATATTTTTTTCCTGAGTTGCACTTTCTTTTCTTAGTTTGACATCTCAAAAGGCATTTAGTTTGCCATGAGCATATCTTGCAATCACCGTTGGCCAGGGGCAGTCTTGACATAGCTGTCATTTCCTGTGCATGTGTCAACTTCATTGTTATTTTCTGTGATATGATTGACAACTGGAGGCTCTTGATTGTTCAATCAACACACCACTGAAGTGGAGTAGAGTAAGGATTTTGTTCACTGTCTGAGAACCTTTATTGACATCCACTGAAAAGATAAAGAAGACACCATTATTAAAACTTCCATAATGATAATACTAACTGCTTAGGAGGTTGAGATTTGAGGATCACAGTTTGAAATAAGCTCAATAAGACAAATTCGAGACTAATTTCCAAGTAAGCACACACACACACAAAACAGAAGTAGCAGTGAGGCTCAAGAGGTAAAGCAGCAAATTCAACCCAAAATATTAAGCCAGAATGAGAGGTCCTGAGTTCAAGCCTTAGTACTCACATACATGCACACACAGACACACACACCAAAAACAAAACGTGTTGGATTCTGGTGGATCATTCCTGTAATTCTAGCTACTCATAAGGCTGAGATTAAAGGATCTCAATTTGAAGGCAGCCTAGACAGAAGAGTCTGGGACATTCCATCGCCAATTAATCAGCAAGGTGATGGACTGGTAATGTGGCTCAAGTAGCATAGTGCCAGCTATAACAAGAAAGCCAACTGAGAGCACAAGGTCCCTGAGTTCAACTCTCAGTATTGGCAACAAGCAAAAAAAAAAAATCCTGTGTAATGAGTGTCGTTGTCTAGGTGAAAAGCCAAGAGGCAAGAGTATGTGACTTTTTAAGGAATGTTAACAAATGTTTTTATCGTTAAGAACAATTCTGAGTGGAAAAAAACATGGGGATTGTGGCTCTAAATTTAAAAAAAGACTAACAATTCCGATTTGAATGTGATCGTGTTTCATGAATGCAAAGCACAATGTTTGATGGTTGTAGATAAAAATTTATGATATAGTATTTATATGACAAATACATATCTAAATATTTACCTAAACAAATCAAGATACAGTGTACACATAATCTCCTTTGTTAAATTGCAAAAAAATTCAATATATACCTAAAATTACAAAAAGTAAGGGAAGGGGTGGATTGGGCAGTGTGGGTGAGAAGAGGTGTCAATGATGAAAAAGCACTGTATTAACAAGCTGGTTTCAGAAATAGCAAGTCCTTTTTACAACTACTTAAGGTAATAAAAATATTCAAAATAGACATTTATGAAATATTTATCTGACTATATATCTATGTATCTAAACACTTCTTACAATTCTCTTTTAATAGGTATAAGTCACTAGAGAGCACTACATAAATTTAATTAGTGATGTTTTTATTTTTCTTGCTGGTATCTTGGTATCTTACACTGGATCCGATCAAGAGTAAATGCCTTATTGTTTAAGTTAGGACTTTCAGTGTCTTGCAAGCAAAGCTTTCACAATGACATAACATGCAGTTTTATGGATAGTCTATAGACACTCATCTTCTGAGCTCCCTACAGGAAGAGAGGTAGAATAGGTTAATGTCCTTGAGGTATGTGAATCTAAGCTTTCTATCTGCCTACTTCTTAAGCAGACAACAGGTACAACTAAAAGCAGAGCTGACTTCTTGTAAGAATCTAGTGGGTTGAGTGAGCAAGAAACTTCTAGCTCTTTGAGCAAAGAAGGTATCTCTAGCACCCTCCTTTCTGCAGAGGTAGGCCTCTACTCCATAACTATTAGTTATGCTCATGTGTTAATGATCAGTATCTTCTGGAAATGAAAATGTGCCAGTCTTATCCCTAAGAGACTTCTTAATTAACCTACAGAGTTAGCTCTTGTCTCAGCAATGAATTATCTGGGTTCTTTTGTCCTTCCCTACTCTTCTTATTCTCTCTGACTATTAGAGATCAGGATGCTCCTTGATGAGCTCATCATAATTTCCTGAAGTAAGCAAGTATTTGAGAAACTGCCCATGGCACATTGTTCCATTGCTTAAACTTGCTGCTGACTCTTATCCCTTAACAATAGCCTTAATTACACCAGCCATTTATTCTAAAACTCTTACCTTTCCTTTTGATGCGTTTCATCCTCAGAGACAAGATTAGTGGCCTCCCTTTGGAGAAGAAGCTTGCAGCATTTTTCTGGGAGCGGAAATCTTTCCTACTCTTCCAATCAAGCATGGTCTAGTGGTTCAGACCTGTGGACTATTGGCTACCACGTGGTGCTGTTTCCCCAAGAAGTTGTGGATGACAGGCAGTTCCAGCCCTGTGAGAACTTCTTACTGCCTATTGTATGTGAATTCTTCTTTTGGAAAGCTGGAATAAAATGTTGGTTTTAAGAAAGAATTACAGTTGGTTAAACTTAGTGTCATGACATTTGTGTGTGTGTGTGTGTGTGTGTGTGTGTGTGTGTGTGTGTGTGAGTGTGTAAAAATAGTTTCTGGCTTGGGGACTGTAGTGTTTCTTTTCTTGTGAGTTAGATGTTTCCTTATTCATTCAAGTGTTTGTTGTAGTGTTAATATCCTTCTGAGAAGACATCCTGCTGACTTTCTTGGCTTTAGTAGTACTTGCATTTCCTCCCAAAGTGACTTAATTGAATTTTATTATTGTTGAAGGAGTGAGGCCTTGATTTAATTTTAACTTTTGAGGCAAGATTGTGCTATATAATCCAGGCTGGCCTAGAATTCTCAGTCTTTTTACTTTGTCTACTGAACGCTGGGATTACAGTCCAGCACCATATATATCTTACTTAATGTTAGCTCTAATATTTAAACTTCTTTGACTATTTTGCCTCTTCTATCATGCATGTGGACTGCTATTTTTATTTTTGCTATGCTTAGAAGAAACCGTATTTGTTTCCCAAAATGAAAAAAAAAATGTACCTATCCAGGATCTTGAACTCAGGACCTTAAAGCTGTCCCTGAGCTGCTTTTGCTTAGGGCTATCACTCTACCATTTGAATCACAGCTCCACTTCCAGCTTTTATTTCTAAGTAGATTAAAGGAGATAAGAGTCTCTGGCTTTTCCTAAGCCTTGTCAGGTCTCAGCCTCCTGAGTAGCTGGAATTACAGGAATGAGTGCCTGGCACCTGGCTAATGAAACTTTCTTGCAATTAAAACCTCTGTTATTTCTGCTAAGAGTTGATCTAGTTTGGAAGACTGGACAGCCACCAATATCCTATCAGCTTTCTGACTTCTTATGGTACCTCAGCTTCTCTTCTTCAGTGCTTCCTATGTCCTCACAAGATGACAACTTCTATTTATTGAGTGTATATTTTTTGTTACTGGGCCTGCCCTGAGTGTTTTATAGCTAGAATCCTGCTTAATCTTTCCATCTATCTTTAAAGGTAATTATTCTCTTTATTTTAAAATGTAAGGAAACCAGAGACCAAAGTAACTAGGCAACTAGCCTGAGGTTAGCCAGCCAAATTGTGACGAAAGCTGCATTTTTCTGAAATATGAAAAAGTCCCTCTTGTTATGAAAATCACATTTAGAATCTCATTGAGGGCATGTTATTTTTTTCCCAATTAAATTTTCTCCCAAATTTTGAATCAGCGTATTTTTTGTCAGAATTGTGCCAAAAGTATTTGGATTTAATGAGAGATTGTTTAATATTCTGAGTGAAAATTTTGGCTGTAGGCCAGATTTTCCTGGTACAAGATGAAACCAGAAAAGCTCTCTTACATAAGAGAGCCACATGAGATAATTCTATTTCTTTAAGTTTCTGATGATTCAACCAAACCTGACTTACACAGGAGGACATAAAAATGTTAACAAAATAGATCTGATCAACTAGTGAGTTTTGTCAAAAATGCTTTGAAACCATTTTTTAAAGCAATAAACACCAACAAGCTTTGTTAAATCCTTTCACATTCTCTTTATCTCCAGGAAGGGAGCTGCTTGTGCCTGCCATGATTCCTGAGATCCAGGAGTAATTCAGACGTCTTCTGGATTTGCACCACAGACTGTTTCAAGATGGCAAAATGAGGGGATAATTCATTCTAGGATCAATGTGCTTCCAGATGAGATTTACTCCCAAATATTCTGAACTCTCTCCATAAGGAGCAAGCAAAACCAGAGAAAAATTATTTAACTCAGGTACCCTGTGAAACAATCAACTAATACATTAGGAAGAGAAAGGAGGGAAATTTTATGTGGCCTTTAACAAATTTACTCATTATCTCTTTTTAAAAAAGTTTATTTACTTTTTATTGTGAAAATACCATACAGAAGGGTTATAATTACATGAGCAAGGTAATGAGTATATTTCTTATCAAGCATTGTTACCTCCTCCTTTGTTTCCCCTTCCCTTCCCTTCCCATCCCCCTTCCTCCGTCCCCCCCCCCCCGCCCCTTGTCCTCCCCTCATTATCTCTTTAATATTTTCTGGGCTATGAACAATGATTAGCATATAAAATTAATTCTCGGATGAATTATTTGACTAACTTAGGATACTCCTAGAACATTAAGCAAAGGGTAATGCTATTCAATTTGATCAGCTTCTTCTTCTGTATTTCCCGTTACCTTAGAATTAAATAAATTAGTGTTTTCACACTGGGCGAACCAGAGAGTATTTTCTTTTAAGACAATCCTTAGGAATTTAGGGAGTCTGGAGTTATATATAATATTTATTTATTGTTTAGTGCCTGTCCTGAGGCTTGAACTGAGGGCCTCATCTTGTCTCTGAGCTTTTTTGCTTGAGGCTATTGCTCTACCATTTGAGCCACAGCTCTACTTCTGGCTTTTTAATTGGAAGTTAATTGGATATGAGTCTCACAGGCTTTCCTGCCTAGGCTGGCTTTGAATCATGATCCTCAGATTTCAGCCTCCTGAGTACCTAGGATTATAGACATGACCCACCAGTGCCCAGCAGAAAATTTAATAATTTAGTGGTTAACATGTAACAGCTATGCAGGGGGATATGGGTGGATGAGATTGCCATTACTGCCAGCTCAGCACACGTAAGATCTCCTATTAATTTCTTCTTGTTTTCTCACATGCATGGACTTGAGGTGATTGTGACCCCACAAGCAACCACAGATAAATGAGGTCATTTTGACTTAAAAATACCTTATTGGAAATAAAGGAGATCTTCCCACCTATTTTAAAAGATTACCTGAAAAACACTTTTAAAACATTGTACATTATAGTCTGGTTAATATTACAGTGCAAACCACAATAACTAAAACTGTGTAATTTCTGAAAGATGAACTCTCACAGAATAGAAATCTATATTATCATGTTTTATTCTCCAGTCCATCAATGGAGAATAAAAGCAATTATAGAGAAATTAAATTCATAATGCCTTACAAGCATGGCTGTTTTTTTTTTTTTTGCAGGTCCTGAGGCTTGAACTCTAGGCCTAGATGCTGTCCTTAAGCAATTTTTGTGCAAGGATCTCACTCTACCACTTTGAGCCACAGCTCTAGTTCTGCTTTTTGAACAGTTAATTAGAGATAAGAGTATCACAGGGACTTCTATGCTAGGCTGGCTTCAAACTGTGATCCTCAGATCTCAGCCTCCTGAGTAGCTAGGATTACAGGTGTGAGCCACCAGCACTTGACTTGTTTTTCTTTTTCAGTAATACCAGCATTTTAATGTTGGGTACTACGCTCAGTGGCAAGCATTCTGTGACTTGAGACACACCTCCAGCCCTTTCTGTTTTATATTATTTTTTTTTCTGAAAAGGCAACAGATTTTTGTCTAGAGTTGCCTTGTATTGTGATCCTCCTATTTATGGCTCCCAATTAAGCTGGGTTAACTCATACTCCCACTGATTATTTCAGCTTATTTACTGAGATAAGAATTTCACTTTTTTTGTTTTGTCCCAGATGTCCAAGAAACTACAGTCTTCTGATCTCTGCCTTCTAATTTACCTGAGATTAAAGTTTGATCCCTCAGAAATGTGTAATGAGAAAATGTCAATTTATGTCATTGGAAATTCAAATATTTGTACTGCTATAAGCACCTATGAATGATATTTCTCGATATAAAAATAATTTAATGGTTAAAATAACCAAGACTTTCATTTTCTGGAGAAAAACAGAAAAACAGAGAAAGAGGGAGAGAGACAATTTCACCAGTGTTTCAAAGTTCCATGTCCCTTTGGGCAACAAATGTTGGTTTAAAAAATAATTGTTCAATGAAAGAATTTGCATTGCTCTTTTCTCCTCATATAAAAATTTATCCCACTGATATCTATCAAGCTTAGATTCTTCTAGGTATTTAGAATGCATCAGTGACCAAATGGAAATGCCTTCTGTGTAGAGGCAGAAGGTTAAGCAGGAGAGTAAAAAATTTCAAAACCATCAAATAAAGCAAGTCAAGATCATGCTAAGAATGATGGAGTGATTACTGGCCCTCTAGATGGGTGCATATAGTCATTTTAAAATTTATTTTTAATGTATCTGTAGGAAACAGTAGTGTTACACTCCTTTCCTGGAAGTCACTTGGAAATCCAGCAGCTTTTGTCATTCCACTCACTGAGTTGATGTCAATGTCCTAGTAGTCGCCAGCCCACAGGCCAATCTGTCATGCCACCAGCTGCTGAAAACAACACAGGATCCATCCACATTGACAAGAGGAAACGAGACACATGGACCTTGACAAGTTCTACTGCCTCCAAAAATGAAATTGATTTAGGCCACTAAAAACTCCAAGCTCTTTCATTACAGGCATTGGGAAACCACAATAAATCAGCTTATTAGGGTGCAACAGGGGTACAAATTGGTGTCTCAGTTAATGTAGATAAAGATTTCAGTGCAAACTGCATATATCAAAAATTTAACACATGCTGCCTGTAGAGGTTTAATGAATACAAAAAGCTCAGTTGCTGAAAACCAACCCAGGCATTACTTCATTTAGCTGTCAATAAAATTGTCTCTTATTTTATTTTCTAATGGTTTATCAATACTGGTAATTTGCTGCGGGTTATAAAAAAAATGAGGATGGGGGAGGGAAAGGAATTTAAATAAATCCTGCTAACTAGAAAAGAGCTTGGTGAGCCATTTTGTTTTCTACATCAGTGATCAGATGACGAGGGGAAGTGAAATCACCATTTCTTCCTTGGACTACAAATATCAACTTTGGAAAAATATATTAGAATGGAGATCTCTTTCACTCACCTTTTGTTGTTTTGTTTGGTTTGTTTTATGCTGGGACGTGGGCTTGAACTTAGGGTCTTATTCTCTTGCTTAGCTTTCTCATTCAAGCCTGATGCTCTACCACATGAGCCATGTCACCATTCTACATTTTGTGGGTTACTTGGAGATAATTGTCTCAGGGATTTGTTTGCTCAGGCTGGTTTCAAACTGTAATCTTCATATCTGGGTAGATAGGAATACAAGAATTTAATGCCTGGCTTGTTATTGTTTGCTCATCAGGAATATTATTGCACTGCAATTCACATTCCCTTAAAGAAGGTCTGAGTAAGGGAGAAAGAGTTTTGTTTGTTTTTTTTTAATTATGTACTTATTTTTTTTCATCCTTGTAGTATAGTTTGAACTTAAGTACAAGGAGCCAAATATAAAATCTCATTTACCATATCCACTTTGTATAAAACACAGAGCAAGCTTAAGGTATTTTTCTAAAATGTGGAGGAAATTCCACCATTGTAGCAGAAATGAACAGGTCTGTTCTATTTATTTGTCAGCACAATAAGGGGATGGGTTCTTATTATTGTTTCCCCCATACAGGTATCTAGGTGTGAAGAGAGAGATACTTTTCTCCCTGATTGAGATTAATGTAGTCCTGAAAATATAGATTCATGACAATGAACTATGAGAGTTTATTCCCTGATGAATTCAGTCAATAAACATTTGTGACAGACTAATGTATTAATAAGTAAATGTAGAAACTAACCTATGCCTTTTTTCTTCCATATATATTTTTTATTGTAAAGATACTCTGTAGAGGGGTTACAGTGACATGAGTAAGGTAATGAGTCCATTTCCTATCAAGCATTATTACCCCCTCCTTTGTTTTTCCCCTACCATCCCTTCCCTCCCCACCTCTCCAACCTCTCCCCCACCCCCACCCCCAGAAGCTATAAAGTTCATTTTCAACACAGTGTCTTGTACATCTCATTGTTAAAGTGGGTCAACCTGTATCCTTATTTCAGCATTTTGTTATTTCTTTTCTCCTCCCCAAATTAGAAAAATGTATATACAATATGCAGGGCACTGGAATCAAATACAGTGAAAAGAGGGGTTATACCATGGGGGAAGACCATATCAAAGAAAACAAAAAAATCACATGTTATATTATAAGTACATTTAAAACAACAGCAAGAAGGATAAAACCACTTGTGTCCCTATCTTGGGGTTTATTTCACTTAACATCATCTTATATGGTCACATGTACATAGCTTTTGACCTTTTAACCTATGCCTTATTTTATTATTATTACTATTATTTTCTTAGTACTGAGCTCACACATGCTTGCCTTGCTTGGCTTACTTACTCATGGCTGGTACTCTATCACTTGAACCATGATTTCAATGGCTTTTGGTGGTTTATTGGAGATTGTTTCTTGTGGACTTTTCTACCTATGTTGGTTTTGAGTTGTAATGCTCTGACTCAATCTCCTGAGTAAGTAGGATTACAGGTATGAACCGCAGGCATTTGAGTAACTAGGATTACAGGTATGAGCCGCAAGCATTTGAGTAACTAGAATTACAGATATGAGTCTCGGGCATGCAGATATATCGTTATTCTTAAAGAATGTCACACAGACTGTGTAAACTTCAGGACTGCTCTCACCTACGTCAGTCTCTAGGTAGAAGAGCCTGAGGACGAACCTGGGAAAAGTCTGGAATCTAAGACCTACAAAAGGGTCCACCGGAGGCTTCACCTCTGCATCTCACTAAAGCAGAAACTGAGTCCCAAGAAGTTAAGTATTCCCAGAGTACTTAGAGCCTGGTGCTGGCAAAGCCAAGAGTAGGACCTTATCTTTGATTCCCTTCTGAGTCTTCATATTAAAATTTGCCAAGAGCTTGCAAGCATTGAGTTAGCACAGGAGTCACACACAAGATGATCATGTGTTGAGACTAGTTAATACAATGCTTTTAAAAATAACCTAATGTCAATGTCTTTAGGTGGGACTTGATCATCACTGTTTACTTAGACCTTTCTGCTCCCATTCCCTGCTACCTGAGTGACAGATGTACTCCTCCTGGGCAGTCCATTAAGGTATTTGGGTCGGCAACAGTGCAGAGCAGAGAGATTTTGAGGCCATGGCTCAGGACATTCCTTGCTGTGTAGCACTGCAGGAAGTTGTACATTCCAATACTAATCTGCCATAACACCACCCATCAACAACTTGGTATTTGAGAGCTGAGATAGGAAAAGAACAAAAGCTATATTTTACCTGTCAGTCATCCTTAGATAGTAGGGTGAGCTGGCCATGCTGTGTGGTTTGTGGATTTGTAATCCTGAACAGAGAAAACTGAAGACATGCAAACTCCCTGAAAGAGAAATTCAGCCTGAGACCACAGTAAGGCCAAACGGAGAATACCTTGGCAAGAGGCTGTTTGTATTTAGTTTCAGCCCTTGGCCACAGCATATCTGATGGTTTAAGTTCCAAAGGAAAAGCTGTATTGCAGATGTTCTTAGAACAACAACAGACTATGAGCTGGTATGTTGTCAGTTATGAAAGCAACTGAAAATTCAATAACAAAGGACATGAATCCAAACCATTACATTACTGTAAAATTCCAGCTGATGCGCACAGAAAACAGTCTTGTTAGCTGCTAGCCAATCCACACTGGGAAACATTCTTGAAAAGAATAGCTGTGCATTTGTCTCAGCTCAGTTTCCTCTGATATCAGACTCTAAACCCATCTGCAAAAGCATCCAGACTATTTTGCTTAAGAACATAACTAAAGACTTAGCAAATATCAGGTCTTAGGACCCTGTATATTGTTTTAAATGAAGTCTATATTCACCCAAAACATGCTATGGTCCTTATATTTTTCATATTGAATTTATATAATGGTCATCCATTCCTTTCATATTATAAATGAAAGATCTGAAGCTCAGTAAGGTCATTATGAAACAAGACCACACACTGATCAAAGGAGGTAGAACTAGATTCAAGGTTATCCAGTCCTAAAATCATCACAGATGTCTGCTTTAACACAAGTGATATAAAGGAAAGATAAAGGTAGCAAGTACCAGCAAGGAACCAAGAACCATGACTGCCTTGAAGGCTCATGATGAAAGCAGTGTGGTCCTTTGGACTTAAGTCATCATCCTCAAAGCTGATTTATTTTTCTTTTGCTGGTTTGCTTGTCTGTGCTCTGCTCATGGTTTGTGTGGATTGACTGGATGACTGTCATAATGTCAGTAACTGCCTGTCTGGTCACAGATACTTTTTCTTCCTAGGTAAATCTGGAGCACAAGGACTCTGCTCAACTTCTATTTCCTTACTGGAACTACATCTTCCCCATACTCCAGCATCTAGAGATTAGGAAACATCATTCTCCTGTGTTTCCTTCTGTCTTGCATTATCACCCCAAAGGGGCTTTGCCTACATGCTTCCATCAACATCTCAGTATAGGTCTATGCTTAACACAGACAGATTGGCTGTAGTCTTCAGATCTGACATGTTTCATATGTATTACTTCTTAGCATTTAAAACAGTTGATAGTCACTTCATTAACTCCAAAATCTAGGAGAACTTTAATGTTCACATTTCTTTAACACCCATAACTATCATGTAAAAAAGAGTTTAGTTCCAACCCAGAGAAAATTGAATTTTCCAAGATCGATGATGTCTCCCACAGATGGGGATAATGTTTTGTTATTCATGTTGGAATCTATGTTCCATCTTGGCTGGCCAGCCAGGATTCTTCCACATATTAGTAATAGGTCTTCTTAGTCATTGCACCATCAACCCTATTGATGCTCTGAGAGATAGCGGTGGCCAGGGGTCCCATCAGACCTCTTCATGTGGCTGACATCCAACAGTGCAAGGACAACTTAGGTTCATGACTAGGGTAAAGCATATATCAGAGGAGCTGAAGAGCATCTATTTCTATGAGATATAGGAGGACCTGGCATTTCTTCTCAAGAAGACTAAGAGCTCATCTTAAAATGAGTGATGGTACACCTAGGTGTGCTAAGGCACCCCTTGTTTTGTCCTTGGTACTCTTCTTGTAGTACTGAACTGGTGCACAAGGAGTTGCTCACTTCCTTTTGGGTAGAATTCTTCCTTTCTGCTACAAGTGCCGCCCTCTGGTGACACTCATCAAGAAGCCTCCTGCACCCTCCTCCAAATAGCTACTTTCTGCTTTCTCATGAGCTGAGCATTGCCATGGATATAAATGTGAGAACTTACAGTCAGACAGAGAGCTGGATCTGTGTACAGGGACAGAACTGCCAGCTCCTTTGCCAGGATGACCACTCGTGCATGCAACTTTATCAGCCAGGTTCTACACCAGGCTTCTTTTCCCATGAAGTGATAGAAAACATATTTCTTAAGACCCCTGCCCAGAAGTCAGAGCTGATATCCTCCTTGTACCTATCCCTAGTCCAATGATAGCACTACTCTCCCTTTTGTGACTGACTTTATTGTTGCAAAAGATGTTAAATTCTCCATTTGTTTTGAAAATTCTACCTATCTAAAATGTGAAGAACCTTTAGGCAACTTTAATACCACTGTGTGCTTTTACCTGTCAGATGACTAATATTAGTAGGGAACAATAGCAACTACAGGGAAAACTATGGCCTTATACCTTGCCCAGTAAAGATCTTTCCTTCTGGAGGAAGGCTTGTTAACCCTGGGAAGGCCTAATGTCATACAAAAGAGAGCAAAACCTGTCAGGCAGGATGGAATTCAGTAACTTGTTGAGTTACTCTATGTCCTTTGGTTAAACGATTTCTGATGGCATCTCAGGTTTCTTTCCTTAAGACCCTTTTTGGGGAAAAACTGGTCACTATAACTTTAGAAAGATCCTGAATTTATGTTCATATCATTTAACACA